TTCAGGTCTAGGAGCTAAAGTTGCTATTTTCAACACTTGATCAAAACCATCAATTTGCCAAATTTTTAATGTATTTTTGCAAATAACTTTATGAACCTTTCTTCATAATCCTGTACTTTATTTCTAAAATTTACCAGTTTGAAAAGAATTCCACTTTAATTTTACATGTATATTTTCCACAGAAAAGCAGACAGAGGTCAAATGCCTACCTCTCCTTCAAAAGTCAAAATCAGATACGGTGAACATGGAAGAGGCAAAGTGTATAGTCTTTGAGGAGCCTCTTTGTAAAAAGAGCAATTCTGAAATCTTTAATCACTGAATTCTTCCAATTTCGAAAACTGTATTTCATTCTTCATCTAAATACAGTTAATCTGTGCTCCTAAATATCAGCAATTGGGCTAGTAGTATGGATTCTTATTAAAATGAGAACAGATTTCTCTCAGGTAGGTACAGTGTGTGTAGCCCACATCTAAATTGTAATGCTCTCTTCATCCCATACTACATCTGTCAATAAACTAAGTGCGATTTCTGTATCTATTCACAAAAGTTAGGTCAAATAAATATTTTGATAGAAAAGACAGCAATAACATTTTATTACTAAGGTGTACAGATTTCCAGTTACCTCCTGACCTTCCCAACTTCTCAATCTTAGCTCACATATCCCTGTATTACTTAAGACATTAAAATATTGTTTTAGATTTTTTAATAAAACACAGAAAGCTTCAATAATGATCAAATAAAGACCTAACCTTAAGTAAACCTCAATTTTAAAGCTCTCCTCTTGCTTATTTTAAGAAAGGAAACGCCCAGAAGCTTGGTGTTAACGTTTCTGCTGATTGTGAAAATTGCAGCAATAAAAACTCCAACTGCTTGTCTTAAATTAAGACTTGTACTACTACTGCAATGTGAGATCTGTATATTTAATATTAGTTTTTATAACATGTGGAAGTTTTGTTGTCTGCTTTGATGTTAGTCCATTAATAACGCGGAGTCAGATGCCTGAAAAAATCATATTTATTTGAAATTCTCAAGTCCAAACCAGAAGTAATTGGTTTGCTCTACCCCATATGACTTAATATTCTGATTTCTACCAACTACCTGCTCCCAGAGCTATCTGCATTTCTAAATTCATTTTCTGTTGCCAACACATAGTAACCCACAATGATTGAAAATGGCAGCTGAAGTGCTTCTACAACACATTAATTTTTCTCTAAGTAGTCCAATTTTGTCATTGAAACGTTGAAAAATCTTTTCAGTGCATTTTACACCTTCAGAGATCTGCTGAATTCAGGATCACCATCACATAAAATGAAGAGCAATGTTTTCAAGACAATTTTTAGATTATCACTAATAGCTCTAAAGGATAATGTTTTCTTTATAGCACTCCGCATTCAAAGCAGACTAGTTAACAGCAACTTAAGTGCAATAATAGCAATTACATCAATGTGGACATTTTTACCTCAAAAGTACTTCTTAGACAACTGAAGGGGCCAGATACATAAACTATCATAAAATGATTTCAAGAGAATGATATACAGTTTGAATGCCACTTAAAAAAAAAAAATCTTCTCTTAATCTGAATAAAGTATCTTATTAAACTAAAAACTAAAAATGTTAGGCAACTGATGTAATGATAACTTTCCCTCCAAACGTGTTGGTTACAGTTAATTTTCAGTATTAGAATAAAAACAAGCAGTTCCGAACTTTAATTAAAGAAAAAAAAAATCCTTCTCCAATGAGAGAGTATAAATTCACGTTCAAAATCAACTAACCATCCAAGGTAAAACTATAGAAAATATGGGCTTCAAAACCTTTTCTCAGGTTCATTTTTATCTTAAAACTACGCTTTAGGAACTCTTAAGCTAAATAAATAAAACCAACACTTCCCTAGAAGTTGATGAACAAAGTTCTCCCTTGACCCATCTGCTTGCCATAAAAATGACCCAAATGACCCAAGTACTTGTCCTTGTTTCTTCACTCATGGATATTGATTTAAGAAATTCAAAGAACGTATCTCTCTGCAAATGTAAAAAAAAAAAAAAAAAAAAAAAAAAAAAAAGATTAACAAATATGCTATACATCTGAGGAAAAATAAACCAACTGTAAGGTGAATTCTCCAGATTACAACGTTTGATAAAATAGAAAACTTTTGAGACAAAACAGTAAATATGCAAAAAGAATCACTACTAACTAGAATGCACAAATAACCTATCACCTAGAACTCTTTTTCAAATTTACACTTGCACAAGTTGCATTAACAAGTTCATGCTGAGTTTTTAATATTCGAACCCTCCATTGATTTTCCCCTTTAATTTAGCAAGTGTATTAAAAATAAGTCTCCTCGGTGTAAGAATGAGTATCTCTTCATCACAAGATTTCTATTGTTTTATAGACTAATTAAAAGGCTTTCTTTCCCATTTTACTAATATAACAAAGCGTAGGCCCTAGGAAAGTATTAAGTTAGAAGGAAAAGCTTTCCCACTCCCTTCCACTGAAGGGACCCCAAAAGACAGGCAACAGTGACTATCATAAAATAAAAGGTCACCCTTCTTCTAGGAACAAACCATTTATCAATAGAAAATAATTGTCTTGCCATTTGCAAGGGGCTCCACAGCAATAGACAATGTGTTTCGCTCACATAATTACAAAACAGTGAAAGTTCAGAAACACAGCCTGAATCCACCTCCCCATTTTTACCCTTTACAATTCTCATTGCCCTTTGGGCCTCTGCTTGGAAGCAAATGGGAGACAGGCTGAAGTTTTCTCAATTGAGCTGAAGCTAAGAAACCTTTGATATGCTAATAGTCCCCTTCAAACGGTAAGAATTCACACTTGCATTAATTCAAACAATTTGTGCAGAATGATGTGAAATGGCACCTCTTTTAGAGGCAAGCAACAAAAGGAGAGATTCGGAACGTCTGAAGGAACTAAACAACAGAACGTTTGTTCTGCAGTCTTCTCTCTATCATGCATAAATTTCCTGGAGGGTGGAGGGAGGGACAACAAAAAGTCCCACGGCACACCTGAACTACAGAAGTAGACTTTTCATACGTAGGGTTTTGCGAAGGTCATAAACCTACTAAGTCGAGGGACAAAGTTACCTTTTAACTTAGGTCAAGAGTCAGAACAACTCGGAACGCCGCTAAAGACGCTTACACAAACCACCCTAGGTTTTGGGCGGTGGATTCCTAGGGCACCCTCCCCTTAGCACCCATCTCTTAAGGTCGGCCCAAGATCAAACTTGATCTGCGAAGAGACATCCCAACAGGCAAGTATTTACCAGACGGATGTGACTTTTCTTCCTTGTGCAGCTCGAGTTGGGCAAAGAGCAAACTCGGTGGGGCCCGTTCCAGACACAAACAGGGACCGGGAAATGAATGAGCCCACGGCGTCCGTTAACTGCACGCCCCTGGGCAGGGAGGGGGCTGGGGGGGAGGAGGAGACGTCCTGGAAGGGCTGCAGCCGAAAAAGTAAGACTGGGGCGGGGGCGGGGCGCGGCGGGGCGCGGCGGGGCGCGGCGGGGAGCGGGGGGCCTCGGAGCCCGGCCTTTGTAACGGGAACCATATGGTCGGTGGCTGCGGCTCCGCGCTCCCAGGCTGCCTGGAGGAGCTGCTAAGCAGCCTGACACCTTTCAAGAAACAGGAGGAAAACATTTCCTCGGTCTGAATCCGAGACAACACCGTGTTTGCATCAGGAAGAGCGGAATGAGAGAGCCCGGGAAGGGGGGAAAAGAGGAGAAGGAAGGGGGGGGGGGAGAGGGGGAGGGGGAGGGGGAGGAGGAGGAGGAGTCCGTAGAAGACCAGCGAAGAGAACGGACCGCACGACCGGTCCCTCCGACGATGCTTTAAGAGGATGGAAGCAACGAGCATCAAAAAATAAAATAAATCGAAAGAATAAAAACAAAAAGCACACGTTCCTTAGCCTCGGGATCAGCGACACTCTGTGCACAAAGTACAGCCTGCGGCGCTTTCCCCCAGCCCAAGCCCCGTGGTCGGACGCAAGGAGCAAACTTTCCGGATCCCAAGCGAGGGAGCCCTGCAGGCGCGCAGCCCCACGGCTCGGTCCCCGCCGGCGGGTCGGGGCGCCCCAGCCAATCACGGAGCCCAAGCTCGGCGGGCCCGGGGGGGGGGGGGGATGGGGTGGGGATGGGGGCGCCCCTCTCCCCGCGCCCCTCCCACGCCTCCTCCCGCCGCCCCCCCCCACGCACCCCCCCCCCGGTGCATCCGCGCCCGGCGCCCCCATCCTACAAACCGGGCTCCCTCCCCGAGGTCCCCAGCCCCGCAGCCGCCCCAGGAGCCCACGGCCGGGAACTTCTCCCGCAGGCCCAGCGCGGCCCGCTGCTGCCCTCTCACTGCGGGTCCGGGAGAGTCTCTGCGCCCCCCCGCCCCGCGGGGCCCCCCTAATCGTTGCCAGCCCCCGCGCCGGCCTGGCCACATCTGGCTGCGCTTTGCTGTCATCCTCGCCTCTCCACACCACCTACCCACCGACGAGAGAAAACAAGGGCCCGCAACAACTCCCCCCCGCCTCGCCCCTGGAGCTGGCGCCCGGCCTCCCCGCTCCACTTGCAGCCCAGCCCGGGACGGGTCTGCGGCGGGGGCGCGGGGGCGCGGGCTCCGCACCCCGAGCCCCCCTCCCGGGACGGGCTGCAAAAAGGGCGAGCGGCCCCCTCCGACCCAAGCTTCCCGAAAACCCCCGAAGGCAGAGCGCACGGTCAGTCCCCCACGCCCCCTGCACGCAGCCCGCGGCCGGGAGGCGTCCCGGCGGCGCCCCGAGCACAGGCGAGGCCGGCCGGCTGCACCGGGCCGGAGTCCCGCGCCTCGAGCCCCGCGGGAGGCTCGGCGGGAGGCGCGCGGGGCCCGAGGCGCACCGCAGCCGAGCCCCGGCGGCTGGGCCCGCGGCTCCCCCGCACCCCCAGCGGCCACCCCGGGCGGGAGGCGCGGCGCTAACAGGTCCCCGGGGCCCGGCACGGAGGCGGCCAGGTTCGCTCCCGCGGCTCTTACCTCGGTCTGCGAGCGCGCCCCGGGGGCGGGGCGAGGAGCGCGGGGCAGCGGCGACCCCGGCCGGGGAGGGCCGAGGCCGGCCGCGCGGTGCGCACGGGAGGCAGCGCCGCGGCTCTCCGGCCGGACACGGCGCGTCCTCCTGCTCGGCCGCCGCCGCCGCCGCCGCCGCCTCCCGCAGCCAAGCACAAGCAGCCAGCGCCGGGCGGCTCCGGGGGCTTAGGTCAGCATCGTCCCGCCGTCTCCCGCACGCCGCTCGGCGCCCGGGCTCTTGGACACGCGCGCGCGCAGCCCCGGACCGCACGCTCCCCGAGCTCCCCGAGAAAAAAGCAAAAAAAAAAAAAACCAAAAAACCAAAAAATCGGGAATCAGAGTGCAAGGGGTGGCGGAGGCTCAAAAAAAAAAAAAAAAAAGCAGCAGCAGCAGCAGCAGCAGCAGCAGCAGCCCGGCGGAGGCGCGCAGACTTGGGGAGTCCCCTCGGAGCGGCCGCCGCGGGCGGGGCGGGCAGACGCCGGCGGCGCGAGGCCACCCCCGTCCGGCCGGCGGAGCGTCTCAGCCCGCGGTCCGCGCCGACCCTGCGGCCTCGGGGCGCGCGGCGGCGGCGGCGGCGGGGGCGGCGGCGGCGGCGGCGGGGGCCGGTCCTCGCATGTCGGGGCTGCGGGCCGGGGAGGCAGGGCGTGCACGGAGGAGCCACGCCACGCACGGCCGCGGACGGAGCGGCCCCCACGGCCCCGCGGAATCCTCGGGTGAGCTCCCGCTCGCGCGCCGGCACCTCTGCGAGTGTGTGTGTGCGAGCCCGAGAGGGAGAGGGACTCGGAGCCGGAGCCGGAGACGGAGCCGGAGAGGGAGCCGGGGCAGCGCGAAGTCCTGACACGGACTCTCGGCGAGGTCTGAACTGGAGTCACCTCCAGCCGCCGCCGCCGCCGCCGCCGCCGCCTCCCCACCACCCCCACCCCCACCCCCACCCCGCCCCGAGTCCGACTCATCCTACAAACATATTCGCGTGCACGGCGGCGAAGGACACATCTCCTTCTCCCTCCCGGTTTTTTTTTTTTTTTGCTCCCCCCCCCCCGGCGACGGGGCTCCGGCAAAGTCGGAAAGACTCTCCAGGCAGCGACGTCCAGAACGTGCAGCAGGTCCTCCACACGGTCCTCGGCGCCCCGGGCCACGGGCCGCGGCACTTACGGGCTCCCGCGTCCGAGCGGCGGCGGCCGAGCAGCCGAGCAGCCGAGCAGCCGCCCGAGGTCGGGGCGGCTGCGGGGCGGTCCGGGCGGCGGCGGCGGCGGCGGCGGCGGTGGGGGGCGCGCTCGGCCCCGGAACGCGCCCCGGAGGCGGCCTGCGGCGGCGGGCGCCCCTCCCCCTCCGCGCCCCCCGCGCCCCGCGCCCCGCTGCACTCACTGCGCGCCCGCCGCGCCCGCCGCGCCTCTGCGTCCTGTCCACGCACACACGCACTTTAAAGAACATTTATTTTATTTCTGGAACGGGGGGAGGGGGAGGGGGGGAGCGCGACCGAGCGCGGCGCCCGGGCCTCCGAGGCGGGGCGCCCTCCGCGCGCCCTCCGCGCCCCCTCCGCGCCCCGGCACCGGCGCCCGCGCTGCGTCCGGGACCCGCCCGGTCTCCGGGTTTTCTCTTTTCTCCGCGCCGCGAGCCCGGGGACTCGAAACTTTTGGTGCGCGCAGCCCTTTTGTGTGCGGCCCGGGCGGGGAGCGGGGGGCCCGGGCGGCGAGCGGGGGCTCGGAGGCGAGCGGGGGCCCGGGAGGCGAGCCGGGGGCGCTCGGGCCCCGCGCCCGGGATGCCCGACCCTGCCCGCGCGCTCGGGCCCCCCCGCAGTCACGGTTTAAAAAAAAAAAACAAAACATTTGCGGCGACTCTGGCTCTGTAGTTCCAGGGACCTCGCCAAACTTTGACTTTATCGACTCTTGCTTCGCAAGAGCGTTTTTGTTTGTTTTTGGATTAAACCGCGCAGGGTGAGCAGGGGAAGGGAAGGAGACTGCGGGGCTCTCCGCTCGCAAGCGCCTCCGTCGTGCTGTTAGGTCGGTTTCCCTCGTTTCCTTGCGTTGAAAGTGCTTTTGCTCTGGGCCGGTGGCCGCGCTCCCCGGCCACCTCCCTGCGGGTCGCGTCCGCGCCGGGGTGGACCCGAGCTGGGGGGGAGGGGGGGGAGCAGACGGCCCGGGGCACATCCCGCTGGAAACCTGTTTTAAAGCCAGCTTCGGTGCCCTCTGCATAGGAGGAAAAGCAAAAGTGCAGAGATGCATGCACGCGTACCTGTCTATCTATATGCAAAATACAAGCTGCGAGTCACTAAGTTTTTAGATGTGTTTCTCAATCACTGATGCTACCCCGGAAGGCAGCCCTCAATTAAAGAATCCTGGACGCTTTGGTATTCAGGGAAAACCGATGCATCAAGATTTAAAGCCTCTAGAAAATGAGATGAAACTTGAGCCTCTCTGCTTCCAGAAACTATGTACTCTTCGTTGCTGCGGGTATGTTGTAGTCCTCGTACTTCAGGATTCATTTCAGACAACAGTGTTATTAAAATGTCAGCAGCAGATTGTTCCAAAGACTTGAAGACTCTAAATACCTATCAGGATTTTGTCACAAAGCCAGATATTTGTGATAATATGATACCCATAATACATAATAATGTAATACCCAGCCATTGGTCAGGTTTGCTCTCAGCTTGTAGAAAGATCATATGTGAAGAGTACCCATGTGCAAATAACGAAAACGTACTCTTTTTTTTTTTTTTTTGGTCATTTTACTTCTCAAAACGAGAATCCTTGATGAGCAAATTTCTGTCTATGTAACGTATTGCTGTTTTAATATTCTCGCCATTCCAAAAGATAAGAGGAGCCACTCAGAACATTTCTGCTTTAAACTACATAAACACTCCCATTTGGAATTTCTTAGATAACATAATTCAAATATTATCGATGTGGGACACAAGCTAGTCTGGGGGGAAAAAAAAACTCTCATGCAGAGCTGGTGTGCAACCTTACTGTGTATCTAAAGTTTTTAAATATGTCAAAATTACGCATACAACAGATCTACCTGGGAAAAGTAATCAGGCTACGTTAGTTGAAAAGAAGCAACATTATAATACTCTCAGATCTCAGAGGTCATTTATATCATAGTCTCTTCTGGAATTAAAAATTGGTTCATTCAAGATTATAAGCCAAAATATGTCAAGCTAATAATCTACATTTACCGTAGATTTTAGCCCTTTCCTTTGTTCATCTTTGAAGGTTTCCCACTCATCTGGGGCAAGAAGCCCCAATGAGTGCATAGATCAGTCTAATCCTATTTTCTTTTGGGAGGCAAAACCTGGGCTGAAGTTTTTATTTAGTGAGCTTAGTAAGTAATCAATAGAAATTTTTTGACTGAATTAAGCAGGCCATATGTTGGCTCATTTACTTATTTATTTAACTCTCTCAGAAAGAATCTCTGGAAGAACCCACTGCCTACATTTCATAGGTCTGACATTCTTTGATGCTCAGGACCTAAGTGAGTCACTCTCCATGTTCCTGAAAAGACTATATCACAAAAAAAAGGAGGATGCATGGAGGGGGGATGAAGTTGTCAGAAGCGGGTTAAAACTATAGGGGGTGGAAAATGCGTCAAACAAGTTTTTAATTTTAATTCAATAGGATGTGTGTTTTATAGAATTCAAAGGGTTCAACACGTTTCTCCTAAGAATATAATAAGCTTGCTGTGTTTTTAAAATTACAGCCAAATGTATTCCTTCTCTAGGATGTTTTTAACATTAAGTTTTTAATTCTTCCCTTGCACTTTACCCATAATAGTATCCACAAAGAAGAATGGAAAAAGAGCTTTTAATTGCATCGATATATTCAAGATTAAGCTGTTAGCCGCAAACCTGCCATTACGAAGGAACCCTTAAATGACACACACACATCCAGAAAACATAATTTGCCTGACACTTCATGACAATTCAAAACATAATTTATAACAATACAGGTGTTATGGTAGGGGAAAAAAATGAAATGAGGAGCTTAATAATGTCTGCAGATGTTAGCGAGTTAAGGGGAGTTGGAGTATATTATGCATTCCCTAAAATCCAATCAATTTAACTACTCAATCTGTATTATTATTTAAGTAATGGCAAAATTATTGACTTATTCATAATACTTGCTAATTGTTTTTAAAAATAAATTCTGCAGAGGACAAAGGAAACACCCGTTTCCATTTGTTTTATGTTAAATCAACATCTAACCACTCATGGTGATTTCATTCAAAGAAAACAGAAGGAACTCGTTAGCTTATGTGGTTAGAGAGATTGATGGGCTTCAAACATTTTAACCATATATGTTTTTTTTCCAACTGTAGAAACTCATGTTTTTAATTTAAGCAACTTTAAGAAACTAAAGATTATTTTATTCTATGGGTTCACATATTTCTGATACAGGAAATTATGCTAATTTTTGAAGCTATTACCATCCACACACCTTTGTTTAAAGGAGAGTGATGAGGTACTTGTCAAAATACAAGTATGAGCAACAATAGTTTGGGTCCCAAATTAAAGAATCTGATGAAGTAGGAAAGTGGGCATTAGAATATCATGAGCAGTACAAACTAGTAGAACACAGCAAGCAACTTCTTCACTGCCTCATTCTGGCAAACTTGGATATACATGGAGGTGGGCTGGGGTGGGGTGGGGAGATTGGGGACTTGATACTGGGCCAAAAATCCTACGTTTGAGCTATGCAGCTGTAGAGAACTATTCATGAGAGTAGGCCGTATTCACGGCCTATCAGAGGCAAAAGCATATGATAAGAGAAATGCGAGTTCTAAGGTAAAACAAACAAGTAAACAAATCACAGGTGAAACTGATCTGGTCTCTAATACAGGAGCAGAAATAAAATCAGCTAGATCTCACCCTGAAGTTAACCAGTTCCCATTGCTTCATCATTACTCTTCAGTGATGCTTAGTGCTGAAACTAGCTTTCCCTACTCTAGAAAATAACTAGTTGAAAGCCCCAGAGCAGATCAAAGCAATGTGTGAATGCTAAACTTAACTAGAACTGGTTGAAAGTTGCTAGCTTTGTTTTTTTTCATTTTAGCGTAGCCATGCATGTAGGCTGAAAAGAAATCAAAACTCACTTTCCATGAGAACGGAAACATATGAAAGCATTTGGCAACGCCGATAAGTTTAACTATACTCCCAGCGCTCTTCAGGCTGAGTAAATCTTTACCCGGGAAAGCCAAACTCTATCCAAAACATAGAGATGCAGTCTCCAACAGTAATGACATTTAAACTACAGTATACATGTGATTATGGTGACCTGCGCCTAATGATACTACTTAGAAGTATATAATCACATGTATTACTATATACCTATCATTTTATAATTAATACTTTTAAAAAATAAATCCACCAATACAACTGGTAGCATGACTCTGTGCAGAGTGTTTATATGTATAACCATATATAAATAACCATATATAAAATGTTATAAAAATGTCAAACCATTGCCATTATGATACTCAGAAGTAAGGATATTAAAAAAGACGTCCTACGTAATCGT